GGCCCATCAGCCGGCCCCTGCATGGCCACCCACTGCCTTCACCACTTCAACAGTCTGCTCCCCTCTCCTGGCCTGGCCCCCACCCCACACCAAACTCGGGTGGCCCACTTTCCCCACAGCCGACTCCAGCAAGCCGTCCATCCTTTCGAAACGCCCCGAAGCACAGCGTCATGTCTGAGCCCACACCCCTGGGAGAGGTCCTTTCCCCAGTCAGCTCCCCACATGCTCACAGGTAAGCTCCCCTCAAAGTGAGGGAGTGTGACACTCATTCTGCAAAACACAGAGGCTCTGATATGGGTACGCTGCCACCAGGTGGCAGCAAACACCTTGTTCATGTAGTTCAAAATAGTACTTTCCAAACTGGAACCAGGTTTTCATTCTAATTTTATGATATACAAATGAAGGAAAAATGTGGAAAGCCACCCATATATTCATTATCCTCACACATCTCTTTTTGTGTGTCCACATATAAGTTGTAGAATCATGGTTAGAAATTTACTAAACCACTTAAGTGGTTTACTAATCCCTGTTTCCCATTGGGTTGATTTAGACCCATCCTCTAGTCGGAGGGCCTGGGCTAGAACAGACTACCGTAATCCACACATCTCCACAGACCCCAGGCCTGCAGAGTCCCCTCCCCTCCTCCTTTCTGTCCTCAATCCTCCCAGGACCTGCCTGGGGAGCTTGCTACCCTGCCAGACCCCAGAATTTGTTTTCAACAAGTGTGCCCTCCCTTTGCCCCACATCGCCAGCCTAGTTCCCATGGTCCCTGGCCTGGGCCCACACTTTAGGAAATATTTTCATCCTTTGACCTGGCTGGTTCACCCTGGCCCATCCTGACAAGCCCCTTCCAGGGCTCCACAGGGCACCCCAGCCTCGGCCCCCTCCCCCACCCCCCACCCCCAGTGTCCTGAGGCCTGCACCTGAATGAGGGAGGCACCCTGATGATAAGGGGCCAGACCAACCTGGAGGGATGGGCTGGGTGGCAGTCACAGACTTGCTCTGTGCCAAGTGTCCCCTGCAGCTCATGAGCAGTCGTCCACTGTGTGTGATCTTGCACTGTCTGCAGTGCTCCAGGGACTGTGGCTCTGAAAACGCCTGGCTTTCCCCTTGTGGGTCAGCTGCTTCCCAGAGACAGCTGTGACCCTGTCACTTCTTGGGTACATGCCTGGCTCTGGCTTCCCTGAGGGGCAGGCCTGGAGACCCCTGAGGTGACCTGGGCTGGGGCCAGCCTTGCTGTGCCTACAGGCACCAGCATCCCACCAGCCTGCACAGCCCCACCTCCATGCAGGGGCCCCGGCCGCTCTGGGGCTGTCACAGTTTCCATTCCCGGCTGACAAGCCGCAGCTCCGCTCCACTGCAGCCTTGGAGAGCTGACGGGGAGGCAGCCAAGCACCTGGGAAGCTGCTCCTGCCAGCCCGGCCCCAGATCCAGGAGAAGTCCCTGTCCCAGCCCTGGGCCTCAGCCCCTCCTATCCCACGCAGGGGCTACGAACCTGCAGCAGCCATGGCCAAGTACGTCAAGGTCCTCTACGACTTCACAGCCCGCAATGCCAACGAGCTCTCAGTGCTCAAGGATGAGGTCCTGGAGGTGCGTTGGGCTGGAGGGAGGGGCTGCCCAGGGGGCGGGGCTGCATGGCTCCGGGGCTGCTGGCAAGTCTGCCACGCCCTTTTCCCCAGGACCCTACCCCTGGGCTCCAATGCAGATCTACAGCGTCTCCACCCCGGAGCCTGGCTGAGGGGCCACGCTCCCGTGGGCATCTGAGAGGGCACAGGGGCTCCTGAGCTGGGCTGGGCTCAGGATGAAGGGTGGGCCCTCTGTGCCAAGGTGGGGGCCCTCCAACACTGCAGGGGCTTGTCATTTATGCCCACCCCTGCAGCCCTCTGGAAGCGCCATCTCTGTGTGGTGCCAACCCCAAATCCAGGCCACCGAGGGAGGAAAGTGGAACAAGCTAGGAGTGGGTGACCTAGACCCACAGCCTGGCTGGAGGCGCTTCCTCAGGATGCTGCTGGGGGTCACCGGCCCCTGTGGTGGGATGGAAAGCTGGGAGGGGCCCGGAGGGCCTTGTGACTGTTCCCATAAGATTGGAGGGAGGCTCAGGGAGAGATGCCAGACCTCTCTATCTCGGGCACACTGGTTGTCCCAGCACCCTGCACTGGTGCCTGTGGCCTGAGGGGGTGGGGACCTGTGGGTCAGGGGTGACGCGGGGGTGTGTGTGCTCAGGTGCTAGAAGATGGCCACCAGTGGTGGAAGCTCCGCACTCGCAGTGGTCAGGCGGGCTACGTGCCCCACAACATCCTGGCTGAGACCTGGCCTGAAGACCTGGGTGCCCCCCAGGAGCAGGTGATGTCGGGGCTCTGTTGTGTCCCACACAGGGTGGGCCAGGTGGCTGGGGGGAGGGGCACATGCTGTGAGTCTCAAGGAAATACCCCCCCTGAGCTTGGAGGGGCTGGTGTGGGGGTTCTAGGGGTCTGGCCCCCAGGCCAGGTCCTGGGGGGGGGCCTTCACACTGTCCTGACTCCAACCCTGATGGGAGGGAAGATGAGTGAGGCTGACGACCCCTCCTCCATCCCCCCTCTTCCCCAACCCCTGCAGGCTGGTCTGAAATACTGGGGTCCTGCCAGCCCCACCCACAAGCTGCCCGCAAGCTTCGCCGGGAACAAAGACGGTGAGTCGGGCAGGGTGGATGCACGCACAGTGGGGACTGGAGGGGTGGAGGCCCGCACCGGGGGAGGGGGAGCCCGCACCGGGGGAGGGGGACCGGGTCTGAGCCGCTGGGCCC